TAGTATTGGACAGTGTGCTTAAGAGCCAGAATCGCGCTTTCAGTAGACAGTCCAGGTCGAAACCCGAACTGTGCGTCATGTATGTTTATGTACTTATCCAGACAAGACTCAAGCACACTATCCAACAGTTTTGCTACAGTTGTCGCAAGGGAGATCGGGCGATAATTGCTTCTGTTGATACAATAATATTTAAAAACAAGAATGTCCTGAAAATGCCTCGTTGGCCGAGTGGTCGGAAGTGCGACTGCCGAGCAAGAGGTCTCGGATTCGATTCCCGGGTTGGGCAAAGTACTACTGGGTTTTTTTTAATTCTTAGTTTGAAGTTGTTCCCGTTGTATGGCAATTGACTTACCCCCTATTACACGGTACTCAGAACATAAATAGTGAAAAGTGGCTGTTACATTGTCCAGTGGCATTAGTGCCGTAATGTGCATCACTGCCTTCCTCTTCAGGGATATAAGGCGTGATGTTATGTTATGTGTGTCATGAAAAAATATAGGTGACCATGAATGCTAGAGAATTCAATCAATCAAAGTAAGTATTTTTCGCTTATACAATTTCAACGTGGCTGAATATTTTATTAGTGTACTACTTAGCCGTGCAGAAAGTTTTATAATGGTTCTGGAACTTTGCCAGATATGAAGCGAGCGAGCTATTATATTGTATAACGTTCTCGTTTTAACCCAGTCTGGCATTGTGAGCGAACTTGCTGCGATTGTCGTATGATAGTTGTATGGTTGTTAAAGGGAACATTTTGGAGGAGTTCAAATGTTTTAACCCCTATGGTTTTAAGGATATTATAATATTATCACATATTTTATAAGGTGTAGCCTGCTGCCTCGTTGCCCAAGTGATCCCAAGTGCGACTGCCGGGCAATGGGCCTCAGGCTCGATTCCTGGGTCGGGCAAAGTATTATTGAGTTTTTAAAAAATCTCAGAAGTTGCACGGAGTCTGGAATTGTGCTCGGTATATGGCAATGACTTAAAATCGGCGTACACTAGACGCCCGTGACATTCTCTTCTCTCATTCTCATTTAGAAATTTTGAAGCCCAAACATTTCAATCATCGACTGCCTCGTTGAAGTATTACTGGGTTTTTAAACATTCTCAGTAGTAGCAAGGAGTCTGGAAATGTGGCCGGTATATGGCAATATCCTCACCCCCTCATTACATGGGACTCATAAAAAAATAGTGAAAAGTGGGTGTTACATTGCACAATGTCATTAAGAGCCATGATGTGCACGCCTGCCTACCCATTTGGGGTTAATTGGCGTGATGTAATAATGTTATGTTCTATTACATTTCAATATAGCCTACCTTTCTTGTAATAATAAACAATTAAGTCTAGCACTAGGATTTCTATAATTACGGTGCATTTCGATTAATCTGCAATGATAATGGGGCAATAATAGTCAGTCTAAAATCAGAGAGATCGAAACACAAATAATAGTCGACGTATTGACGGCACAAATACAGACAGGAGTTGAAGGAATATTTTGATACAAACATTTTGCCAGCGATTTGACCTGACTGCCGGTTCAGGGAAAGTGAGAAATTGTCATAAACTTTGTATAAATCTTATACAGTTCTATTCTACTAACGTCTATACCATTTTTATACTGGAACAAACAGTCTCGTTGCTAAATTGATTGCAGAATCAAATCCTAGATCGGGCACACTGTTATTGTGAGATTTTCGAAAATTTCTCTGAAATAACATGGAGTGTGGAATTTAACAGACTTTTAAAATTCTTTTTTTTTTATTTTTATTTTTAAAAAACATTGCCCCACACTAGGATTTTCTCCTGTGTCGTGGGTGCGTTTACAAACATACAAGTTTACATACACAATGACACCCAGACCAGAAACAATAATCTGTGGATCACACAAAGAGTTATTCCGTGCGGGAATCGAATCCGCGACACGTTGCACGGCTGCCGGTTGCCCAGCCACCGCACCAACCGTGCAGTCAAAATACTAATAAGTATTACATACCTGAAGAGGTCATAAGTTTGATAATATTTACATTAATATAACATCATGCCTTTATCCTCGAAGGGGTAGGAAGAGGTGCACATTACGGCACTCAATGCCACTGTACAATGTAATACCCAAATTTTACTATTTATATTATGAGTCCCATGTAATGCGGAGTAAGCCTATTGCCAAATACTGGGCAGAATTCCTGGGTACATTTAGTACTATCTCACTTTTGTCTTTTACAAATAATCATAACCTTTTTTTGGCGTTGTGTGCCGAGTAACTTGGAGGCAGACTTCTAAATAAAATTCGTGTTCGATGGTAAAACTTATAATCAACTTGTTCATCTGAGTGTAATCACCTAAAAGTGTCACAAAGATTCTTAAATCAAAATTAAAATCATAGACAGTCAATGGCGACCATAAACAATATCAATGTGTTAGTAACAATATTAATAGTGGATCCCATATATAGATGATAGTGGGACGCCACAAATTTATATTCTTATAGAAAAGTTGAATCCGATATCAATGCAACGACACTACCGTACGTGAAATATTCATTTTTGCAACGATAGATGTTTGCAAATGTCTGACTGTGCAAAGTTGGATTAGGGAGAATTTTCATAAATAAATACCAAGCTGAGCCGTCGACAAACACGACGCGATTCGTATTTTTTCAAACATCGACTTTGACTCTGAGTTTTATGACACACCACAAATACATTTTTATTTTTTTTTATTTCAAACGTTACCCCACGCTAGGATTTTCTCCTGTGTCGTGGGTTCATTTACAAACATACAAGTTCATATACATATGATACCCAGACCCGGAACAACAATCTGTGGGTCACGCAAAGAGTTAATCCGTGCGGGAATTAAACTGTCAAATACCAAGCGGTCACCGGTGACCGCAACCTATTGTTCTATAATTGTGTCTGCAAAACCGGTACTCGACGAGTTAAAGCCACTACACGTTGCACTGCAGCCGGTTGCCCAGCCACCGCTCCAACCGTCAATTTAATGTTGACTAGCTTCTGCCACCGGCTTCGCTCGCGGTCCCAGGGGTGAAACATAGCCTATAAGTTACTCCAGATTCCCAGAGTCCCAAATTTCATCCCGGTCCCTTCAGCCATTTTGATGTAACTGAGTAAACATACACACGAACGAACAAACGCACATATTTTAATATTTATAATACAACCCACACTTTCATGCATCAGAAGCAGGCATCTTAAACCTCCGGACCATCACGACATTTGTAATACTTAAGGAATATGTTTCTATCATCGCTCCGCTCGCCATCGACAGGGAGTTTACGCTCACACATTGGAGCTCAATAAATAGTCCTGTACAGTTCGGTTTCAGAGGAATTTTCTACCACGGACCCTCCGATTGTGGAATGAACTCCCTGCCGTGGTTTTCCCAGTGGGCTACAACATGGGGTTCTTCAAGAGAGGAGTGAATAGGTTTCTTAAGGGTCGGCAAGACAATGCCCCAAGTGTTGCAGGCGTACATAGGCCACGGTAAACGCTTACAATCAGGTAATTTGTTGCCACCGTCGTAATATGAAAAAAAAAATATGTTTTTTTAATCATTAAATGTCTTTGATTCCGTTAGTACGTGATTTAAATCAATTATTCGTACACATACATTTCTGTCTAGGTGTCTAGTATGTATATGGTCAAATTCAAAATGTTATTAAACAAATGCCAATTTCAAATATCTGTCCAATCAACTGTGTAAATGCGAACCAATGATTAATTAGTAGGTAGTCGATGCGCTGTGGACGAAATTATTTAGATTTCAATATACCGGTGATTGTAACAAATTGTAGTTCAATGAATATAACAGCAAACGTTAGATCTAACAATACGGTAGATGCCTAATTTTTATTTCAATGTCCGTCTGGTAGATTATTTTAAATCATTAGACATAACATCAAATATGTTATATCGTAGTAACAGTCAAGTTACTACGTACTAAACATCATGGGTTTTAAAGACACACATTTAAAATATCACAGTCTTATTTTCTTACTAGTTACACGTTCCATAGACGTATGGCAGACATAATAATATGACGGCCTACTTGCCATAATAGGGTAGATACCTAATTTTTATTTTAATGTCCGTCTGGTAGATAATTTTAAATCGTTAGACACTTATTTTTTATTTCCTTACAGAAACGAATACTTTCGACGGATTGATTTGAAATGTCGCGTGACGTCACTTCTATGTACATTTTATACGTAGAAATGACGTTTTAGCACCCACTCTTAAACTTTGATTTGTTTTATCTAAGTATTATTTTATTATACCTACAACAAAATAAAAAAAATGTGTCTTATGTTTTTTCATTACCTAACTTACGGACTAATTCGATTTTTAATTTTCATACCCCGCCATCATCCAAATTGTATTGTGCTGTAAATTACAGGTCACATTGATATATGACCAAAAAAATATGTTCAAGAGAATCGTGCAAGAAAAACTTATACAGTAGGATGTTCACAATCCTGAGCACAGGGGAGTATGACCCAAAGAGGAGAAGGAGGTTATCAAAATAAATCATTGAATACTTTTTCTCGATCACACATTTTTAAAAATATTCCACAAATCATTCATTACTATGATTTGCCTAAAATTATATTCGAAGCATAATGGTTGTCATAGGGAATCCATATTAACCAGAATAAAAAGAGCCTACTTAAAAATGTTTACTCAAGAAACTTGAATTCCACAATATTTTGGCATCTAAAATATATAAAACACCAACACGAATCGTACACACAATATATCATAAATGCAGACACCGAAACGAGCGAAGCCAAAGGTTTTATTTTACTTCGCTTCGAATTTATCGCTTCCCACTTCCTGCGCGGCTTTCGCATATGTACATCGATGGCTGTGCTCCGATATGTATCTATGAAATACTGATAGGGCGGCCAATGAATAATGCAATTTAGATTTTGTCATAACGCTTGGTAGTACTACCAACACAAATCAACTGTTAGAGAAGATTACCTTTTAGACCGCCAGGTTATGCTTTTGTTAAAATACATTCATAATAACTATGCATATTCCTTAAGCTCCTTCATAGAAAGCTACCTATGTGGTTTATTAACTTCTATCAATTTGTACTAGTAGAACTAAGGAAATGTAAACCATAATTTAGTTAAGAGTTTGATCATCAACAGAAAGTAATTTTATTGGAGACAATGCGCTAATTGTGGATCCACTCATCTTATAATATTTTTTTTTTGGCATAGCCTGGTTAACGAGCAGACGGATCACCTGATGGTAAGCAATCGGCGTCACCCATGGACACCTGGAACACCAGAGGCATTACAAGTGCGTTACCAACCAGCCCTTTCGGCATTAGGACTTTGAGGATGTTTGGGGATTCGGGGATTGGGGAATAAACAAACGTTTATAAATTACCCCCGCCATTTTTACCACCTATATAGGTATGTTTGTTACTCAACCACGTCAATACGGCTGATGAAGTGGTCGGGATGTGAAACAGGGGTAGATTATAGTTTGGAGTAATGTAGGCTTCTTTTTCATTCCACGAAAATGTGGGCAAAGCCGCTGGCCAAAACTAGTTCATAAAATAAAACACATGAAACACATTTCGAACATAGATGACTTTTATTCACAGTTTATCGTCAGTTCATAATAGGAAAAATAATGTAAGTTACATTAGGGTATCAATTGCAGTTGTCTTAAATTGGGGTCGTAAGTATGAGAATAGTAAAATCGCCTTTAATAATAATTATATCCTTGTGGGCTACGTAGACGAATATCGATATTACCTTTGCGTCGTCGGTTCAGTTTTTTAGGAACTGATTTTAGATACAAATCCCTCAGATAATCGCCAATTTGCCGCCGTTTCTGTGCCTCGTCTGAAACTAGTCTTCGCCGGTTATCATAATACACCCTTTTAGCACCAATCTTTATATCTTGATTCGACTGAGGATCCACTAAACGACCTGGAATGTCATTCTCGTCACGTCGGTTATCTGATTTACGAATGTCGATTCCATAATTTTGTCGTCGATTATTGACATCAAAGTTGGGAACTTGCCCTCGATTGAGGGCTACTAGTCGTGAACCGATGTTATTCTGCAGTCGATTTTGGACAAGATAATGGGGTAAACCTTCAAGCATTTGACATCTGACCAATACTATGCTGGTAACAAGCAGACACAGAACGGCCTTCAGCATTGTCAAGCTTTTAGTAGGAAGGTTACCAGTGGCACACTGACAATAAACAAACTTGTATACGCCTTTATATACCTAATCAGTTCAATTACTAAGTATTACTATGTTAAGTATATAGTATATCAATACTACGCTGCATGTAATGTAAAATAGCCTTAATGCCCTTAATTTAGTTTTCAGACACAAAATTAGGTACTAATAAGCAACTGCTACAAGGAAATTTAATACACACAAAATTGATTTGCGACAATGTATCGCTAAGTTACTCGAGCATAAACTACAAGTAAGATATTACAACAATTAAATGCCTAAGTACGGCTCAGTTTATAACTAGGTGACTTCCCCAACCTAGGCTTTTAATTCTTTTAGAAGCACGGAGCAAAAGAACGCGTACTCCGTAGACTGAGGTAAATATGACACCAATTTTATTAAAAAAACCCTATTGTCACACCTCGTGTTCAATTATAATCTCATAATAATAATTATCATTTTTTAATGTAAAACTGTAAATATTGATAAAATTTAATCTGACTTAAAGATTTATTAACCTGTGGGAGAGCCATGTTTTGGCACGAATAGGCCAGCTCGACCCGAGAGATACTAAGGCCTCACAGAAAATCTAAGTGTATCGTAATCGTACCAGGGAGGTACCATCCCTAATCCACAAATCTCTAACCCAAACTCTTTAAGTATGGGAGAGCCATGCTTCGGCACGAATCGGCTGGCTCGACCGGAGTGATGCCACGGCCTCACAGAAGACCGACGCGAAACAACGTTTGTGTTGCGTTTCGAGAGGTTTATGAGGTTACCGGAGGCTTAATTACCCCCCATTCCCCAATCCCTGAATCCCCAATAATCCTCAAATTCCTAACCCTAAAAGGCTGGTAACGCACTTGTAACGCCTCTGATGTTCCACTTGTCCATGGGCGACGCTGATTGTTTACCATCAGGTAATCCGTCTGCTCGTTTACCGGCCTATCCTATAAAAAAAACCTCTTAAAGGCTGCCGGCAACGTACTTCTAACTTCTCTGACTTTTAGGTGTCCATGAGCGACTACTTACTATCAGGCAACTGAATGTTGGTTGCTCTCTACAACAAAAAATAAATAAATAAACAGCTTCCTGTATAAAAGTCGTAGGCCGCAGTGCACGTAATACACAAACAGTTTCACACATACATATACAATACAAGGTAACTCCTAAAACTAGATTCAGTCACATCGAGTGCCAATGGATGCACTCAGGCAAATTGCTAGCCTATTAGCACCCAATTCAATTACGAGGCGAACTTTGTGCAACGTCTTGAAGTAAACCTAACTTTCTAGTAAATAAATACAGCACTGGAAACCAACTTCATTGGCAGTAATTAATTATTTTAAAAGTAATTATAGTTTTTGAAAGAAATTCATTGTGTTTTCTACCACATGACCACATATAATCATCACTTCACAGAAGTGCTTGCCTACAAATCGTCAGTTTTACAGTAATAAGAAAAATAATGAATAGATTGTCATAGAGTGAGCAACTACTTCTATTTAACCATTTTATCTTTATCTGGTGATAATTTTCCAATGTTGAATAATACAACAAAAGGCTTGAATTTAATAAAAAAATCACTGTAATATATTTTAGCGTGCAATAAATTATATCCACACTGTAAGTGCATTAAACCTTCCGTAATACTTTAACTTGGCTCAAAACAAGATCTTTGAGTATTGTGAAAGGCTATTTATATCTGTATATGTTATTTACTTTTAGCAGAAAGTACATAATAAGTTCATTCAAAAAGTTAGAAGCAGGCTTCTAGTGAATTCATCGAAATCACTGAAACTTGTTTTCACAAAATCCAACGCGGGGGATTCAGGCCTGAAACAATATTTTGTTTTCATTTGAAACTGTTCGCAGACACGGTAGGATTAGCAAAATAAATACAGAATACATTAATTCTCGTAGGAGTTCTGCCTTTATTTTATGTGTTTATTATTTTTAGTATTTGTTTTTATATAATCCGTAGGTACTTGAGATACTGTCTCGTTAGCGGAGTTGTCTCAAGCGCGACTGCCGGGCAAGGCGTCTCGGGTAGCAATTTCAGGGTCGGGCAAACTACTACTGGGTTTTAAAAAAATCTCAGTAGTAGCACGGAGTCTGGAATTGTGCCCGGTATATAGCATTAGATTTATGTTATGTTATGTTATGTACTTTAGATTATATTTACTGGCGGCTGTATGTCTTTGTAAGTAGTGTCAGTAATCTATTGGGTTGGGAATTGGCACCCTTTCGAAGCATGGTGAGGCCACTATAAATAATACACCTACAAAAAAATTGCTAAACAATAGCCAACACTGATTACAGCAGTATTGCCGGGACCGTACCGTATACGGTACACTGGACCCAATCACTGCTCGTTCTCAGTCATCGAACCTTGCACATATAGGTTTGAAAGAAACTGGCAATGTTTATTTAAATGAAATTTTGAAGGAAGCTCATCTAAAAATGTTCAGATGTTGTTAATTATAAAATCACTTCTGAATCCATGGTGAGAATAAGTTGTTGTTTTCTGAAACTTATTTTGCGAAAAAAATCAGATATCACAGAATACAAATCAAAAATCATTTTAAGATAACAAAGTCACTAGTTAAGTGTGGCAGAGCCATGCTTCGGCACGAATGGGCCGGCTCGAACAGAGTGATACCACGGCTTCACAGAAAACTGACGTGAAACAAGCCTTGCGTTGTGTTTCTTTATGTGAGTGAGGTTGAAGAAGGTAACCCCCCCCCCCTTCTAATCCCGGAATCATTGAATCCCTGAATCCCCAGCAATCTTCAAATTCCTAATACTCAAATGACCGCTAACGCACTTGTAACGCCTCCAGGTGTCCATGGGCGACGCCAATTTCTTACCATCAGGTGATCCGTCTGCTCGTTTACCGGTTTGTCAAGGTTACAAAGGGGTAAAATTGGGTTGAAATTAGTCGTCATGGTAGACTTAAGCATCCCCTGAGAAAGGACTTTGATTATTTCCACCCCCAATGGGGTAAAATAGGGGATGAAAGTTTATTTCAAACTTTGTCAGTTTTCCACAGATCGGGCAGGTAGATGTTATGACGTAAACGTTCCTTAAGAATGGATTTTGATCATTTCTTCCCCCAATGGGGCAAAATAGGGTATGAAAGTTTGTACGAAACTTGTTCTGTTTTAAACCGATCGGGCTAACATATAGGTGTCCCCTAAGAAAGGGTTTTGATAAATTCCACGCCTTAGGGGATAAAAAAGGAGATGAGAGTTTGTATAAATCGTCTTAACTATGTATATTGAATCTAGAATCATAGAAACTTTGTGAGTAACATTCGGTAAAACGATAATTTGAGACCTGGGAAACGATGTATGATAGTTTTTATCACAGAAGTCCCACGAGAACGGGATCTATGCGTTAAAGTCCCGGGACTCTCTATTTCTTAACCATTGAACTTATTTTAGAGAGATTCAGTACAACCAACACTGCCCACCATACACTAAAGTGCAGTAACAGCAAAATCACGATTTCGAGTAAAACGCATTTAAAGTTAAGAATTGATTTTAAAAAATCAACAGAATGTATAAGCAAAAAAATTTGAATGCAGAAAGGTTGTAAAGGCATAGGTTCACACGTTAAACCAATAAAAAAAATATATCTTAATAACTGAATTTATTATGGCCATTTATTCTTTTTGGTGCCTATTACTGCATAGCCTTTTTTGTAAAAAATACCATTTTAAACTTAGTAAAATGCAGCAAAAAGCCCTATTACTGCGTTTGGATCAGTTATTTTGTCAAGAAACCCAACTAACATGCAGTAAGGTCAAAAAAATACTGCATTTTAGTTAGTTTTTTAAGAAAAAAGTGTTCAATTTACTAGTGCAGTAAGAAAAATAGCTAGTTCACATTTTAAAGACCGTTTATTTCTTATTATTTAATCACAATAATTCAACTCACTTATGTAAAATTTACATACCAAAAATAAAAAAAAAACATCTAATTAATAAAGGACCCTGCGCAGAATGCACAACCTCCTTTGACAGTTTTCTCTTAATATTAACATATATAACATAATGTATCTTTATGTTTAACAATAAAATATAGATAGTAAATGTTTAAATTAACTGCGTTTAAATTAGTTTAATTTACTATAATTTGTTAAACTTGATCCCAATTAAAATGCAGTATTTAAAACATTAACTGCACTTTAGCTAGGAATAATCATATCTGTGTCATTATGCTATCCAAACTAATCTGCAGTAATGCTGTATTTTACTGCGTGTTAGTCAGTTTATAATGATAAAAGAATGTTAAGTATTCACAACTAAAATGCGACAAGCTTTGATTTTACTGCATTTTAGTTGGGAGTTCGTGACAATAAATTGTATTTTCTTAATTTGCAGTAAAAATAGCTTGTATGGCGGTAAATTTTACTGCGTATTAATTTTTTTTTTCATTTTTTTCCAGAAATATAAAACTATCTAAAGAACTGTAAAATTATATTACTTACTGCATTTTAGTTATGAAACCTAAAAATTTAATCTGCAGTATAATTTATACTGTATTTTAGTTGGGAAATCACGCCAAATTGTTAATTTTTTTCGTTTGCAGTAAGTGAAAACTGTTAAATAAAAACCATTCTAATAGTCTTAGAAATAAGTAAGTTAATTCAATAGAAAGCTTAAGAAACCCGCTTTCAGAATCACTAATAAAACGAAAAATCACAAAAGGGCTGTTACTGCTCTTTAGTCTCTGGTGGGCAGAACAATAGTCGATATATAGCTTGTATCACTTAAACCTTACGGAAACAGGCACTGTACTGGTAAGATCCCAGCGGGATTGTTTATGTTTTGAAACCACGATAAATCATTTCACATTTAAATTCGGTCAGAAGTCATTGTTCTACGCGGACGAAGTCGCGGGCAATTGATTCATTATATAATGATCTGAACATATTAGAATAATAATTCAATTAAGTGCTTGATCCTA